TCACACTATTCACGGATAACACACACATCCAAATGGTTGTCCTATTATTGGGTCGACTCACCTTCACGTGTGGCTATAATGTCCAATACATATACGCCGCCGAAGTATACCCGACTGTCATCAGGAGTCGAGCGCTGGCCGTACGCCTAGCGGTCGGATCTATTGGTAATTTGATTAGTCCACAAATCGTAGTGTTGTCCAAAATCAACAAACAAATCCCATTAATCATCTTTGGTTTATGTGCTCTCATGGCGTCCGCAATTATGGTGAAACTCCCGGAAACACTCGACAAACCATTGCCCGAGACGTTAGAAAACGGCGACACATTTGGCAAGAAAACCAAATCAAAGCCGAAGAATGTGAATATGAGACGACGGTCCACATTCATAGCCGTATGTATGGTACCGGTAGAGATCCCACTCAATTACAACACAAACGGCATCACCAACGGAACCATACCGAATAGCATTGAACTCAAAGTGTACGCTAAGTTCAAAAACGGCTTAAAACAAAGCACCAAATTTTAAACACGGTAACAAATTTATTTCCACAAAAAAATATTTATTTATTTACAAAATAAACTAAAAGTGAAACTAAGAGACAATGAATGGTACGATCAGACGAGTAGTACGGCGTTAATACAGCCATCATTTTCCGGGTTATTGGTCACCTGAGCGTACTTCCCCCAGACCACTTTCCCCGATTGGGTCACGAGACCCAACTCACTGATGTTCACTTCGATGACCGTTCCCTTCGTGATTACACCCAACGATGTATACATCGGCGAACTCGGGTTCTTCTTCACGCCGATGATCGGCAGACTGAAGGTCGCCCTCAGCTCCGGGTGCGTCACGTGCGCCGTCTTGAACCTCAGGGCCATCGGACGGATGAAGCGCTCAAATTTGGGCGGTTTTCGGGTGAAGCCGTCGCCAACGAAACACACTTTCGTCACCATTCGCTTCCAACACTTCTTCTTACGTTTGCCGGTCTTTATAGCTCTGAAAGAGACAATCATTGGACACATGAATGACTGCTCGCAATGGACTCATAGGACGGGCGCATACCTGAAGACCTCCATCTCGGACACGGCTTTAACCTTAGGGATGGGAACCTCCCATTTGCCGGCCTTCTCCTTCCGCTTCTGTTTAATCATATTTGAGACTCGCAATGGACTCATAGGACGGGCGCATACCTGAAGACCTCCATCTCGGACACGGCCTTAACCTTAGGGATGGGAACCTCCCATTTGCCGGCCTTCTCCTTCCGCTTCTGTTTAATCATATTTGAGAGCACTTTAGCTCTGCTTTGGGTCTCTCTGTCCAACAGGTAGTGAGGAATGGCTCCGTCCGTCACCGGTTTGTCCGCTTTCTTGCGACTACTCTTCTCCTCGTGAGCTTTCATCGTCTTCTTCATCTGAATCTTCTCCGTAAACCTCTGTTTGTTATAGAGTTTGGCTTTTATTCCTCGGAGTGTCTGAGCCTTCTGTGAGACCCGTCGCACACTTCGGGCCTCTTTCTTGCGCTTCCGCTCCTCGTAGTCCAGCCGTCGGCCGAACCTCTTGTGGAACAGCTCTATGTGTTCGTTCTGTGGCATTGTCTTCGGTGGTAGTGGTGGTGATCACCGATGGATCACTCGTTGCGCTCAAATTGGCGTTTAAATTGTCTTTAATAATTATTTGGTTTTTGTAATACCATAGTAAATATATAATTTCTATTATGTGTCTGAATATCTCACTAAATTGAATCATTAATGCTTTTTATTATTCATTCTAAATGATAAATTCAAAGAAATACAGTAGAAATAAATAATTAAAAATACCAATGACTTTGGCTAATATCTAAAAACTATAGCCAAGTGGTTGGGAACCGATCTCAGAGTTGGATAAGTGTGAAGATCCTACTCTACACTGTAGTCTACAGTAATACTGTAACAGTATTATAAAGTTTGTTCACAAAATGTGTACAATAATTGTGTTTTCGTACTAAACCATTATACCAAACAATACAATGTCAATTTTGAATGAGATGTTATCTTTTATGTATAAAAACAATTTTACAAATAATTATGGAAAATTACTACAATATTTATTTAGAATCAATACAATTATTTAATATTGATATAAGGGTTACATTGAAAATATAGGAGACAAAAGGGCGAGATATATAATTGGATAGCAAACCAAAGAATCGTTGCATCAATTGTGTTGATTCAGTGGTCTTATGCACCCAATAAAGGGTAATATATTGGACAATTGGACAGGTGCACAATTAGAATTAGGTATGCCTTCATTTACCAATCACTATTTAATATAAAACTGACTTGTGAGTAAATTCATAAGTACAGTATACAATGTACGGTAAATGTACGTAAGTACAAACAAATATTACCGTAATAATGGTACATTTGCAGAAATAGCATGAATTAGTGTTGGGGTAAAAAAACCAAGGCTTCAGCTGATAATTAACTGTAAGACAAATCAATGTCTTTTCATCCGTAAAATAGTTTAAAGAATTGTCTAAAGAATAGTTTTCCATATCATAAGTGTTTGTATCGAGTCCTATAGAATCCTATAATTCTTAGTCATATTCATGGATTGCGAGGAATTAATAGAAAAAGTTGGATCTTTTGGTTTATATCAGAAAATTCTGGGACTTTTTCTGTGTCTATTAATTGCACCGTTTTTTGCTTTCAATGATTTGACACAATTCTTGCTATTTCTGGAGCCAAAGCATAGCTGTTCCCGAGAGACAGAGACGGTTAACGAACCGAAACATAATATCTCAAAACAATGTGAATTACTAGACGGTTTTGGCAATAAAACTAAATGTATTTATGGTCATCAGTATAATTATTCTCATATCTATCCCACAATTGTGTCCGAGGTAAAAATTGAATAATTTTTACAGTAAATAGTTTATGAAAACTTAGAAATAGTAATATTTAAAATTTAATCTTGCTTGCTTCAAACAGAATAATTATGTTTG